AAAAAAAAAAAAAAAAAAACCGTAAACGGACTCGCCGATTCACTGTTCGGACTTGCCGAATCCGTACAGTAAATCGGCGATTCACTGTACAGAATCGTCCGGTTCTCTCTAGAACCGGACGATTTCCGATTTTTTAGACGATCCGGTCCCCTTTTCACAATTTCCGAGTCGAGCAGGGCGAGTCCGGTTCGACTCGGCGTTTTTTAAAACACTGCAAAAGACCTAAGCACTTAATTCCCTCGATAATAAAGGAAGAGTACCTATAGTATGCTCCGGGGGGAGCATTTGCACTTACTCCTTTGAGCAGAAGATAAACTTGAAAAAAATAATTATTATTATCAGAACTTTTGGCAACGACCTAAAAAATCAATATACAAACTTTTGATTTTTGAGTTTCCTAGCACTGAAATCTCACCCATAAAAAATTGGATGGTTTCCATTCAATCTAGATCCAAGCCTATGGACAATGCAACTTGGAAAAAAATTTATTGAATATAGCAGATGGGTTGAGGAGGTTACATCTCCAAATTTGGGGCCCAAAGATATACTCCGAGATCTGGTTTGCCCAAGGAGTAAGTGGACAATATCCTCCCTCATGAGCATGAAATCTTTTGGCACAAAAGAAATTTACATGTGTTGGATTTTGGGGTCCTTGTGTGTTAGATTCATGGAATTAGGGAAATAATAATATGACCCTTTTAGCTCTTATGAAAGGCTGAGGTTTGTATAAGGTGGCCTCCGTATACTATAGAAGTAAGGCACACCTATAAAATTTACTTAGAGATGTCATTTCAGCGTCGAAAACTTTATGATGGCTTTAAAAATTTTTTCTAAAGAAAATATCATACAAAACCCTGATTCTCCATCTTATTTTATGGTAGACCTTTTTTCCATTTTTTTATTTTTTAAACGACATAAAAAAATCTTTAAAGATTTCACTATATCCCATCATCTCTTAGCTACCTTATTTATTCACTTTTGACCATAAAAATTAGCCCCAACAAATTTTTTTATACCATTTCAACCAAAAAACGTTTCAAAAATGTCTTAAAAACATTTCAAAAACTTTTTTAACCCATCCCATTATATCTCCCACCCTATTATATCTTTTAACCCAAAAACATATAAAAAAAAAATTTATTATATTTTTTGCCTTTTCAACCCCTCAATTCCACGTTGAGGGCTCCCTATCTCTCTCTTTTTTATATTAGGTTGAAATGGTGTAAAAATGTCTGTTAGGACTAATTTTTATAGTCAAAAGTGAATAAATGAGGAAAATAAGATATGAAGGGGTATGGTGAAATCTTTAGGGATTTTTTTATGCCACTTGAAAAAAAAATGGAAAGGAGGTCTAACATGAAATAAGATGAGGAAGTAAGGTTCAGTACGGAATGTTACCCTTTTTTTATTTTTAGTTTTAAATTTTAAAAAAGTGGTACTGATCGAGCAAATCAAAAAACACTTGAAAATCTTGAAAATAAACAGTCCAGATAACTTCTTATAAGATGCACTATTTTTTGGACTTTAATACCCGCAGGAGCATTGAAACTCTTGATATGATGTATTGCTGGCTGCTACTAAGCTTGAATCTCCGCAAGTTATACCACTTGTTCATTGATTATTAAGAAATGTAGTCATCAAAGAGCTAACCAACAAGATGGAAACTAGAGGAATAATAAGTATGGAGGAGAAAGTATTTAAGGATACAGGGGACTTACAGTGAGTGCAACCAAAGCTGAAATCAAGCCAATTTTTACAGCTTCTCCGGTATGATCCCCAGTGAATACCAATTGCTTTGCTGAGCTAGGGTTTATGCCACCTTTTATATGCTTTACCTACCATTACAAAACAAATATCCAAGTTAAACACAACCCCTTCAATAATACCATTCCAAGTTCATTGCTTCAATAGAGATAGAGAAAAACAGGGAGAATTTGTTTTGGGATGTATACAATGATACCACTTGCATTTCTTATAAGGAGGTGACAATAGCTCATACTCATTTGATGTCAAATTGGATTGTTTGGACTAGTCATAAAGTTCGAAAGTTTATTTATTTACTTTTTAATTTTGAGTCTTCACAATGACACTCTTATATCCAGCCAATTTGAAATCGAAGCGATATGAGTGAATGTGACCTCGTTGTACAAAAAATAAATGGTCTCTCTCTGCATACTTTTCCATTTGTTTTTTACTCACAGTATTAACTCCATGCTTGTCGGCCCGGGTCAAGAATACTACAAGAGTTGAAATAATAACAGAAACCAGGGGAGCAATTGCAGGTATCCAAAAGAGTTTCTTCTTTTTCCGCCCCTGTAAATTTCATGAGCACTTATCACTCTGATTTGATTTGTTTTGCGCACCCTGCAAAATTTAAATAGAAGAATGGTTTGGCCATATACTTACAATGTATCTTGCAGCTAGCATGAGGATTAGGAAGAAGCTCCCAATTAGAAAATTGTATGGATGCCACTGGTACAAGTATAAAAACAGAGCAACAAGTATTAGCAACTAAAGTTACTTATCGATAGGGTTGGCAACGGGTTGGGTCAAGGGCCCGACCTGGACCTAATGATTTGGACGGTGTAGATTGACGCGTCTTTTAAAATCTATGAATTGATTATTAAAAAAATTTATTTAGATTTTGAATATTTTAGAAAAAATTAAGAAAAGAGAAAAAAGAAAGTTTTCAAATCATCTTAAAAACTACCAAAATCATCTAAAACCTAATTTCTAACAAATATAGCGGTGCTTTCCAATTTTTTTACATTTTTCTTTTTTTATTTGTTAGTACATTTATGAGGGTGGAGCGAGTTGCTATTGAACTCACCTCTACTCGGTGCCACCCATAGGGCAAGTCCGAGTCACTAGCAACTGAATGCCGCTCAGTACTAATGTATCCCTGCCTAATTGCATTTTCATCAATGTTTCAGGGGAAAGGAAAATGGAGAAAGTTATTATCTCATATCTGACTAGTGTTACTCATATGTAATCCGCAATTTTGGTAAACCTAGTGAAAGATGAAATGATGATTTGCTGAAAACCCAACTCATTTGGATAGATATCAGAAACTTCAAGCCCATGATTGATAGAAAGATAATCCAGTTTATTGAGATAGATTATTAGAACTTATAAAAAGGAGAGAGAGACTGCAGCATGATCAACATAGGCCCAAACAGCCTTCATCACAGAGATCACATCAGTCTTGTTTGTGAAGTGAGCAATCCCAAGCAATGCCTTCAATTGTTGGAGTCCAATCACTATAGCCGCACCACCCATGAACCCAACAATGGCAGCATGTGATAGAAAGTCTATCAGAAACCCCAACCTAAAAAATATATAGAAAAGAAAGAAATCAAATGCAATTACCCCAAAATGTAGATATCAATGATTTCATTGATCAAGCCAAATTAAATTGGAGGTGCTCTAAATTTGGAGGAGATTTACCTGAATAGCCCAAATGCTGCTTGAAAAATACCAGCAAAGAAGGTAGAGGTGAAAACCATCTTTCTGTAACCAATTGGATCCTTTAAGGGGTCTATTGTTTTTCGAATCATGGCGGATAGTAAGAGAGAGACAATGGCCACTGGACCGATCGCAATTTCTCTTGAGCTTCCCATTGCTGCATAGATCAGTGGCGGCACGAAGCTGGTATCTGATTTGAACACAACCCATATAACCACATGAACAGATTAACACATGATTAACACTAAACCATAAATTACTTTATCAATTTGATTGTTACTAACAAGGAGAAAACATGGGATCTTTGTTGTTTAATAAAATCTAGTCCAATGAGTATTATTTATTAATATATTGCAAATTTTATAGTTGCTGTTTTTATTAGAGAGATAAACAGTAAAAGCAAACTTATCATTAACAATTGAAAAGGAAAGCTCTTATTTTCATGCTATTTAGAGGATAAAGAACCTATCTTTAGAGGTTAGAAGATAGATTAAGAAATACAAGGACAAAACTTACAGAGTCCATATTGAGGATCCAGTCCTGCCAAATTAGCATAGCCTATGCTCTGCAAGATATTGAACAAGTTAGCAGGAGAGAGAGAGAGAGGGCAAAAGAAATTCAAAAAGAGATGAAACAGTTTACTCTTTAAATTTTCAACAAACCAAGCAGACCCCAGAGAGGGAGAGAGAAGTACCTGAGGAATACACAGGCTAGCAAGCGTCAAACCCGCCATTAAATCGCACTTAAACTTTCCAAGATCATATTCTCTCCCCCAACTTAGTACAGGGAAGAGCTGCCTCAGCCCCCTAACGAACCATCTCGGTCCAAGCCTACCCCAACTAGGCCCAAAGATGGCACCTGTGATCGAGCCCTTGAGCTCAGCCACCAAGCCCGGTGGCTCAACATAGTCGAGTACACGGTGCACCGAATCAGGCCTTCCCGCCTGCTTTTCAGGCGAATTCACAATGGCATCAAGCTCTTTGCTAGAGAATTCTCCAGCTTGAGAAGAACCCATGTCTTTTTGAAGTGTTTGGGAGAACTAGACAAAGTTCCCTTACTTTAGAGAGAGATTGAACATCTTTACAGTGGTAAAGCTGCACCACAGGATAAGATGCTTCATTGAAAGAGGTGGGATGTATAGTGACCTCATATAGTGGAAAAGGGGGGTAGAAGTTTAGGAAGCTTAGGACCTGAAAGGAAAGGAGAACCATGGGCTAGAGAAAATGGAGGCCATGAATGAGCAAAGGAAGACATGGATGTTTAAGACAGAGGATCTCAATTTATAGGCCTAATGAATTAGTTTAATTGTTCCTCTCACTACGGAAAGGTGGGTGATTTCTTACTTATTTTCTGTCACCAAGAATGGAGTGGTGCAGTGGTGGCGGAAGTGGGAAATATGATTAGTTAATTAGTAATAGATGCTGTTAGAATGCGGACCCCTTAATAAATCTATTTTTGAAATCGATTTTTGGATTTAATTTTTAAGAATATATAATCTCTAAGAGGAGATCATGAATATGAAAATTAAATAAATTATAAAATTAGAAATAATAATTTTATTAAAAAGGCATTTGGATCGTTAGTTTCAATTGTTTTTAGATGCATCTATCTCTAGGATGGATGCTTTATATTTGTGGACTGCATATATAGGAATGCGGTCCTGCCTCCCCGCATGAAACAATTTTCGATTAGTAATAAGGAAAGAGATGCTTATTGCATTGGGTCTACTTTGTCCCACTTCATGGGAGAAGTGGATGGACAAATGCATATAAAACTCACGAAACATGATTCTAATTGGACTGGACATTTTAATATTACCAAAAGATTTGTTGCTCCTCAGAGAGTAAACTGTCTGCGTACGACATTACGTAAAACCCAATTTAGGAGTAACCTCAAAATAAAAAATTGTACTATGTGGTTGAGAAAATAACATCCCAAGATTAGAGAGAGAGAATTCAATTTTTGAAGGCAAAATTTAACTATTGAAGAACTCGAAATCCCGCCTGAGGCGAGGCCCTAAACAACCAAAGGTTGTGGTTCATATAAGGCTGAGGCCTTAAACAATCAAAGTAAGGTGCACGTTTAAATAATGCCTAAATATGTTGTTTCAGAGTCAGAAATATTTATGATGGCTTAAAAACTTATTTTATATCTAATTATGAAAGTTAAAATTCAAAAATAGCGTAGATCTAGATCTATGAACACTTGAAAATCGACGGTTTAGATAATACATTACAAGATGCACTATTTTTAAGACTTGAAATTTATTTATTTTTCATGTCTATACATCTTGAGGTCGAGATGATCAACTCGAGTATTTTCTAGCATCGAAACCACAATTTCTAATGAATTTTTGAGGTGCGCCCTAATTTGATTGTTTAGGGCCTCAATCTTATATAATATTTTTCCTTTTAAAAATACTCATATGGCGATGCTTAGGTGGATACCGAAATTCTCAAATTGAGTCCAAGTAGGCCATTCGCCTAAAAAATAGTAAGTATACAATATGCTCCCATGTGAGAATGTTATACACCCCCTCCCTCCCTCCCCCCCTTCCCCTCCTTCCTCTTAAAACAGGAAAGAAAAAAATAAATAAAGCCTACCTACCAATCAATCAATCTCTCTCTCGTATTGAGTATCAAAGGCTTTCCTATGCTCTTACCCCAAATAATCGCCCTCAAATAATCCACATATAGAAACTCACATATGCATAGAGACACCCATACATAGTTATTTTACACAAATCCAAGATGTACATGGCTACTTATTTCACATAATTCGAAGGAAAAGGTTTACATAAGGTGTCAAAATTGAGGCCTCATAATCACCACATTGAGGCCTAAAAATTGGTCCAAAAAGCTAAAACTCTGCTGATTTTCGTCAGACTTATGGACCCACTTGAACTGGGAATTTAAACTTTTGACCATTAGTACAGCATATTTTCCCTTCTCTTTGTCCAAGAATATGGACATATGATTTTAGGGGTGTTTTTGTAATATTTTGAAACTCGGCCCTATCCAAGAATATGGATATATGATTGTAGGGGTGTTTTTGTAATATTCTGAAACTCGGACCGATGTTTTGACATGTGGCCTGGCCCAAGCTCAGTAATTCAGTCAAGTATGTATAAGGATAAAACATGCCCAAAATGTTAAAAAGCAAAAAAAAAGAAAAAATGAAAGTATTTAAAAATCAGAAAAAATAAACAAACTATTACAATTGTAGAGAAGATGGAAAGTATATAAAAGATGGAATATACCTTGAGATGTTTCAAAGAAATATAAAAAAAAAAAATTGGAGCATGCAATAAGAAAAAAATCCAAAATCATCATAAAAAAAATCATATATATTAGTATTTTTTAACAAAATTTATGTTTGTTTTTTAACTTTTTAGCAAGGGATGTATGGGGCTTCAATTGAAGGCGGATGCAGTATGGAGAAGAGGCTACCAATTAAAAGGTGTTTGAAAGTTTCAAGTACTACTAAGAACTAAAAGGTAAGAGAAAGTTACACTACCCCACATGAACATAGCTTTGGGGAGTGACTAGACATGCAAGCCACAATTATTTCTTTTTCATGACCAAGTGGTTCTGCACAAACATAATTAAGGTGTAATAAAGAAAGCAAACTATGGTAAATAAAATAAGGGTGTGGTTTGTATAGAGCCGAGATTCTAAACAATCAAATTACAGCTCACCTTCAATTAGTGTCAAGAAATATGGTTTCACACCAAAAATTTGTGTGATAGCCTTAAAATATATTTTCATCTTTAATTATAAAATTTAAAGCTTAAAAAATAGTGTATATCAAGCAGATATATGAAAACTTGAAAATCTTGAAAATCGACGGTCCAAAAATGCTTACAAGATGCACTCTTTCAAAAACTTGAAATTCATTTTTTTTCTTATATCTATGCATCTTGATGTCCATATGATCAATTTGATGATATTTGGCCATCAAAACAACATCTTCTAATGAAATTTTTGAAGTAGGCTCTAATTTGATTGTTTAGATCCTAGGCTTTATATAAACTTTTCCCATAAAATAAAACTTACGTTTAAGTTAAAGTGGCTTTTGACATACAAACACAACTAAAACCTAGCATATGTAAAAGAAAGAAAACTTAGGGAAAAAGTTAACCTAGTCATGAAAAAGAACAAACTTTTGAGGTGAGTGATTGTGGCATCGTGTTGGAACTTGGTTTAATGTCTAGTAAACGTACCGTATTTGGCAATTTTATTCTTATCCTTACACTATTGGGCAGGCACAGGTAAAAATTATGGGCACCCAAAGAAGCTTCATTTAGGGCCCTCTCATGGGTTTGAAGCCAAAAGTCGAGCAATCGAACCACCTTGTTGAAATAATTTTTCGTAATCATCACGCGGTCATGATGTGATAGTCAATGGCCGAAAGTGTGATACTTATTCAACTACTTTCAAGGTTAAAAGTCGTTCAAAAATATGCAAGCTCACTTGCAATCGTCCGAGTTAGGTTAAAAAAGTGGTTCAAAAATGGCAAGCCAATTTGCATTTGCCTGAGTTTGCTCTGACTAGAGAACCCTGAATAGCCCGAAATGGTTGTCCCATAACTATGTCATTCACTTTCACTCGGCGAGTGTTGAGTTTTAAGGTTTTTTTTTTTTGGCCAAACAATTTTCGAGGGCGAGATTTGAGTAGTTGACTCCAAAATCGGTGATCCAAGGTGCTCGACTCGATATTTGGTTCGTTTTCTTTAACGTTTTTATTTAAAATAATGTTTAAATATAAAGTATTATATACAATGAGACCATTTACCTATGATACAAGGTAGTCACAATTGCTTACAACTATTTGATGTAAAATTTGGTAGCTTGAATGTGTTCTTTTGAAGTTTGAGCTTGGTCAATGAATTAATTACAACCACCTAATTTCACATCCAATGGTCAAAATTAATGTGACCACCTTGTATCAAAGTAAATGATCTCATTTTGTACTTTCCCAAAATGTAAACTATTCCACTTCTATGGGTTTTTTTTTTTTTTTTTTACAATCTTCCATAACTTTATTGATTATAAAAGATTACAAAAATTTCAAACAATAAGATTATCCGAAACAATCAACTATTGAAAAGAAACACCCCTTTTAACCAAAGAATCGGCCACCTAATTGCCTTCTCGATAAATATGGTTAAACACGATAGACAAACCACGCATAAGCTCCATGATTTCCAGCCATGTTTATCTTAATCTCTACGGAGGTCTTGAAGTAGAGTTGCACCAATTGATTATATTCAGACAGTCTCCTTCAACAACAGATAGTAAATGGATATTCCGTTCCTTGATTAATTTAAGTTCTTGCAAGACTGCTGACAGTTCCGCTTCATTGGTAGTTTTATCACCACATGGATTTTCCTCCTCTTTGATTTCATGAGTTTCTTTCATCCATTCACGGAAGAACTTTTCACTGCTCATGGTTTCGAACTCTTGGTGTGGTACTTTAGTATGTATGGTCCTCTAAAGAAGGAAAAAGGAACAAAAGCTTGGAATACGTGCTCAAATGTATGGGTTGTAAATGGGCTGGGCCTGCCCACCTGACATGGTTCGTGCTCAAGCCTGTCGGGCTATGCCGGGCTTGAATTTAAAGATTGCTAGTTTAGCCTGGGTCTTAGTAGTGAGGCTTGATAGGCCATATTTTAAGCGACATATCAATTAATGAGGTGCAACTAGGTTTGGCCGACCTGGCGGCCTTAAAGACCCGACCTGATATGGCCCAGGTTTGTACCCCTTTATAGGAAGCCGGATTTCAATTTAAGTTAGCTTAAGAGGCTGGATAAAGGATCGGCCTAGTCCCAGCCCACTTACACCCCTACTCATATGAAAAATATGTTCTTGCAACATCATGAGGTTGCCTTTACAAGCAAATGTTCATTTTTGTTTATGTTTTTCAGCTCTTTGAAGTCCAAATTGAAGAACTGTTACTTCTTTTTTCAAGAATCATGATTCTGAAGCTTAAAGTAGGAAAAGTATACAATGAAGTACAATGGATCACAATTAGTCTTGATCATTGAATGTGAAATAAGATAGTTGTATTTATTCCATTGACCAAGCTCTAACTTCAAAAGAAATTTTTTCGAACTTTATGACATACCCAAGCTATCATATTTCACATCGAATGATTGTAAGTAATTGTGAATTCCTTGTATGTACAATCCCTTAAAGCAATTATATCATGTAGGTGCTTTGGCGAGTCAATATCTTTTCCTTCTTTTGTGCTTCCAAGTACTAAATTTTATTTAGACCTGATAGGCT